TTTCCATCATTTCTGAGCCTCAGAACTTCATCAGTGCAGCAGATAGACACATGACATTTAGGAGGAAGAACACATCTGGGTTCTGCTAGAACCTGATCCTCCTCTATGGACTTCAAGGACCTGGAGCTCTGGACTATTCACAGTCTGAAGGTAGAACTCTGATCATTAATAAAGTTCCTGTTGATAAAGAGCCAGCTGACTGTGAGCACAGATCAGAGGCTCTGACTGAGTTTTATTGCAGCGTCTCTAATATAAAATCTGGCTGAGCTGCTGATAAACTGTTCTTATCAATCTGGGCTGTAGGTGCTGAAGGTGTGTTTTGATCAGGGAAGAAATAATGCTGAAGGTTATCAGCTGCTGGAGATAAATAAAGTGAACTTTGCCACAGAGAGCAGCTGCAGCGCCACACTGTGGTCAAAGACACACAGTGACTGAAGCAACAGGCGGCAAGTCTGACGTCTGAAAAGGAAACGATTTTACATAAAATTATGACTTTGTTTTGTGGCTTCAATCTTTAAATGATCCGTTTCTAGTTTGTAGTCAAAGCTCGAGCACCTAAACGTCCTCGTCGGTGTTCAGGAGAATGAGCTGCAGGTTGAAGGACTTCCAGAGAAATGCTGCCATCTGGTGGAGAAAAGTCTCAACAACAGCTTCAGGATCCACAGAAAGTGTTGCTTCTTTTAGGTGGAAAACATCCGTCCATCATCTCTACACCTTAATCCTCACTAGGGCAGGAAGGCAGGTTCACCTGGACAGGTAACCAGCCTATCACAGGGCTACACCTAGAGACAGACAACCAAGCACACTCACATTCACACATGTGTTTCTTTCGGCGAAAACAACACGTTTGACCTCCAGTAAAGACACGTAATCGTATCTAACACCTTGTTTATGGGTTTTAAAAAGATTTGTGATTAAAAAAAAAACAACAAAAAAAAGAAACTCGTTATGAATATTTGAGTCATTTGTCTCCAAAGTTGCATCATGTTTAGAAAACAAACAAACAAACAAGAACCAAACATCGGTCACGTGGTGAACGAATGAAGCGATAACAGAAAATCACATTTTAAAAATACTCGTAATTAACAAAAGTGAAGCGTGAAGTGTTTGTAGTGGCCAGCAGGGGGCGACTCCTCCAACAACAACCACCTCAGGTTCATTAGAAAGCTGTTGATTCTCGCTTCATGACTTCAGTAAACATGATTCTAACCGATTCATGGTCTCAGTCAGTCGTCTGACGCCTCCTTCAGTCCGTTAAGTTCCCGTTTAGAGGACAAAAGACGACAAAGCAAAGGATGATTTTCAACCAACTCACTCACACGAGCTGCTAAATTTACCCAAACTGCATTTTTTAAGGTTTTCTCTGGCGATGCGTCCTTTGCTGCCGCAGATGTTTTTCTTGTTTGTTTTTTTTTGTTTTCAGCTTTAAGTCTGTCAGAAACCAAAAAATAAAAAATAAAAAATCAAGCGGAATGACACAGAAATCGATGGAAAAGTGCAAATCTTTAGCGACAAACGAGTTAAAAGCTGTGAAGTGTTTGTTTTTGGAGCAGCACAGTGAAGGAACCCGGAGGTTTTGTTCCTGTTTTCACTCAGAGACAGAACCTGAACTTTAGCTGAACACTAAGTGAAGCCAGAAGCTGCCTCCCCAACACACGTCCCTTCTTATGTAACGCGGGTCTCCACGTGCTCCTGAATGCGTCACACAGCGGTAAACACACACACGGGTGACGTCACTGCCACCGTCGCGCTGACGTCACGCCGCTGATCACGGAGCTGCGAGTTCATGAAAACAGAGAAATTACAGAAAGAACCGAAAACAAACGAATGAGAGAAATACATAAAAATAAAAAAAGACAAAAGAAAATCTGTCAACAAGAGGGCTGAAAAAAAACAACAGCCAAAATGATAAATATCTGAAAAATAATCACGTTTTTAATAGATTTAAATACAGTGGAAGTTAATAATAAAAAATAAAATAAAATTAGTGATTTTGATGTGTTCATTTATTTTGTTTTGTTTTTGTAAACTGTCAACATGTAAATGAACGTTTTCTGTGATTTCATGATATTTTATCTGTAATTTAACAAAACGGAGAAAACGTGTAAAAATAACAACAAACTGTTTCCTTAAAGTACAAATGAAACATAAAAACTTTGCTCTTGTTGCTGAAGTCACAGAGTGTCACTGTTGTGTGTCTGTTGTGTGTCTGTTGTTGTACCGTTACGTGCTGCACGCGGACACACGCTGACGTTTGATACGTGACGGTGCGCGTGTTCCCGCGGCAGCAGCTTGAAACATCGCGTGCCCCCCTGGTCACGTATCTGGACCGGACATCGGAGGGGCGGGAGTCTATAGAAGCCGCTCCGCACCGGCACCGGCACCGGCACCACATGTCCCGCTCACCGCCACACCGCCGCAGCGGCGGAGAGCCGCTCCGGGTCCCGGAGAACGGCGTGGACCAGCCGGAGGACGAGGAGGAGGACCTGGACGACGAGCTGGACGCGTCCCGGCTGGAGAGCTTCATGAGGGACCGGAGGAGAGCCCGGTCCCTGCCCGCCTACCCGGCGGCGCTGCTGGCCCGGGTGTCCGGCGGCGAGAAGCGGGTGAAGTTCGCCGACACCATGGGCCTGAATCTGGCCAGCGTCAAGCACTTCAGCGCGCTGGAGGAGCCGCAGATCCCCACCAAGGTTCTGTCCCGCCACCGGAGCTTCCCGCCGCAGCAGCACGACCTGCTGCAGGACCTGCGCCACGGCTTCAGGTCCGATCTGGACACCGACCGGCTGGTCGCCTGTTTCCCGGAGCTCCGGGACGCGGAGCGGCGCGTCCAGCAGCTGGGGGTCTGTCTGGAGCGGGTCGCCATCACGCAGTTTGATGTGCGCGGGCAGATCCGGGTCTTGGACGGCCGAGAGGACAAGGAGGTCGGAGTCAGATACACCTTCAACGACTGGCTGTCCCACGTGGACGCGCAGGCTGTGCCGGCGGCCGCGGAGCAGCCGGACCTGCTGGGGGAACGCTTCGTGTTCACCGTGTACACGCCGCCCTTCATGGAGCCCAGCTCCACCGTGCACCTCGCCGTTTACCTGAAGAGCAAGGACGGCGAGTTCTGGGACAACAACGGGGGGCAGAACTACAGCTTCCGGTACCACTGCATGTCCGGCACCGACGCTTTCCACGCCACCTGATCGGTGCGTAAAAGCGTTCCATCCGTGCGTAAAACCGTTCCATCTGTGCGTAAAAATCTGTCCATGGGCCACCAGAGCTGGAGGAAAGGATCAACACTCAGAACAATGACGGTTCCTAAATGGTTCTTTAAGTTCCATCACCAGTTGAAGAACCTCTTCATCTAGAGGAGGGTTCTCCTCCGACTGTATGCGGTTCTTTAAAGGGCTCTTCATCTTATTAGTTTTTCGGTTTGGTGGCACAAAATCAGAGCCATTATTGTCACCGTCAGTCATCATTTGATAAAACATCAGTGAGAAATCTCAGCCACAGTTCCATTTGGGTTCCTGACAGAACACAGAGAACCACACACTGTGAGCCGTCATCCAGGAGATGAACCTCCAGATAAATGTTCTAATTTTCAGATCTGAATGAACCGTCACGTCCTCCTGATGCTGACAGAACAGTGACACGTATTATTGCTGTAATTTAAACAGCAATAATATTGTGTGTTTATTGATTCAAAACTAAATTCAAGTCGTTGAGTTTTAAGGTGAGGAAACAGAAATGTCCTTCACAGTCTCTCTCATCACAAACCGGCTCCGAGTTGTTCCGTCTGACCCAGAATAACAAACGTGTTCTGATGAAGGAGCCCAGACATGCTGCAGATTCTTTGGGACTTTGTGCCTCATAATTGTTGGTTTCATTCTTTAGAACCAGGAGGGAAAAGGTTCCCTAAAGAGCCTGGTTCTGTTCACGTCCTGTGGAGCCTTAAAGAGGCCCAAAGGAACCGGTTACTGAAGGTCACTGGAGGCACCTTTGGGCTTCTTTAAACAAGCTCCTGTTCCGTGGTTCTTGTGTTCTTGTGTGTGTAGGTTCTGTCTGTCTTCTGTTCCATCTGTCTGTGAATCAGCTTCATCCGGTTCAGAACGTCTTCTGAGCCCAGTTTGTTGAAGCTCTGACTCGTTGGACTTTCTGTGTTTCTCTCGGAGGTTCCAGGCAGCAGCTGCTGGGTTCCAACGCTGATCTTCATCCTGGAAGCTTCACAGCTGATTCTGGACTCACGTCACGCCGTCTCAGGTCCAGCAGCTTCATGTGCACCGAAAGTTCAGAACAATGTCCGTTTGAAGGCGACGGACGTGAGCGTCTGATTGTGAACTCTGCTGAAACCGTGAAGCTGCTGCAGATGTTTTGGTCCAGAACCAGCCACACAGCTGGACGGATCCGATTCTCTCTGATCTGTTCTTTCAGTCAGTCGATGTTTTCTTTGAGCTCAAGTTCAATCAGAGGACAGAGTTTCTGAGCTGCTGGAGGCGCCGCATGAAAGATCAGCTTCAGCTTCATGAGACGTTCAAATCCTTCGTGTCCGGCAGACGGACGACGTTCTGCAGGATCAAAGCTCCAGAGGCTTCGTGGTGCATGTTTCTGTCTCCTCACTGCTGATTTACTAATAAAAGAAACGAAAAGTACAAAAACATAAAAAAACAAACAAAGGAGTAATTTTGCTGAACCTGTTCACGTCTGCAGTTCTTGTGTTTAGTGATTTTGAAACAAATAAAAATGAAGCTAAAACCAAAACTGGAGCATTTTTGAGTTTGTTTTTGGAAGAACGTGATTTAATTTTTCATTTCTGAAGTAATAAAAACAACACACACACAAAACCAGAACTTTTGTGTTGAGTCCCAAAAAACCCAACATGGTCTGGAAGTGAAAGAGGAACCTGCTTCCCCTCAGATACCAATAAAGTTTAAATACCAAAAAAAGAAAACGGTGACGAGGAAACAGGCCAGTTGTGTCGTTTTTCTGAAAGTACACTCACACTGAAAGTCAAATATTAAACAGTGGAAACGTGGAGCCGCAGCTCGTCTGCTGGTTTGCTGCAGCCACATGTTCACTTTGATCCATTCAGACCAAAACATCAGAACGGCACATTTCTCATTTCATCCACGAACAATAAACTTCAAGTGGAAAATTAAACTTGTTTCTGGATGATCACAGCTTAAACGGGCCGTAGTCTGTTTGAATGTTTTGTATTTGATGGGAAATTAAATTCTAGTTTAGTCTCCAGACCTTGTTTGACTGTTTGTTTGTGGACACCTGAAATGACTCTCAGGTTTAGTTTTATTTCTGTTTCATTTTGTTTTTGAGTCACGAAATACAAATTGTTCACCGAACGCTGCCGACGCGGTTCGACTCGCCTTCACGTTTTAATCCGTTTTCCTGTGACAGCTCGAGCAGAAATATATTTGTGTTAAATCAAAACATCCATCATCTCTACACCTTAATCCTCACCAGGGTCATGGGGGGCGGAGCCTATCCCAGCTGACTCAGGGTGAAGGCAGGTTCACCTGGACAGGTAACCAGTCTATCACAGGGCTACACTTAGAGACAGACAACCAAGCACACTCACATTCACACCTACGGACAATTTACAATCACCAATTAACCTCAGCATGTTTCTGGACTGTGGGAGGAAGCCGGAGAACCCGGAGAGAACCCACGCTGCACGGGGAGAACATGGAGACTCCACGCAGGAAGATCCCGGGTGTCCTCACCGGGACGCCAACCGGCGACCTTCTAGCTGTGAGGCCACGATGCTAACCACTGATCCACCTGCAGCCCTTACATCAAAACTTTGCTAAACTAAAAATCACAGTGAGAAAGAAGCTCGGGGGTCATTGATATAAGACAACTCCTGTCAGCAGCACCTGCAGCAGAGCAGACGGCGGTGCGGAGTCAAGCTGTCGTCACGGTAACAACCCCATCATTTCCCTTCTCAACACAACTTCAACATAAACTCAGACGTCAGCCGACGTATTCATCAAACTTTCTAACTTCCTGAACTCCAGCATCGGGGATCTGGTCACGAGTTTAGAGACCATCATTCACGACTCGTTGCGTTCGTCGGTCGATCCTGAACTTAAAGACGCAGCAGAACAAGCTGCTGCATCATTTTCATTCAAACAGCCGGAGAGCACGCGAAAGCAAACACCACGACGCTAACACGCCAGCGCTAACGTTAGCACAGCACGCTAATGAAAAGCTTCATCGCTACGTTTGCTCCGATCCACATTGAAACAGCGGATCCTTCTCCTTGTTTCTATTCTATTTTTCACTCGTTGACAGGAAACGGAGCTGCTTTTGTTCTGGACTCAGAGCTTCTCGTCTCCACACGAGGACCAAAGTTCAGGAGTCCTCTGAAAATAGCCCTGTTGGCAAACCCGACCCCAATGTTTGGTCTGTCAACACGGACGCACGGCGGCGAGGGAAACTTCAGGTGAAGCTCGGAGCTGCTCGTCTCCATCAGCAGCAGGTCGCTCACGACCAGCAGCAGAAATAAAGTCAGTGATCCCGTCAGCAAACCGCTTCCACCAACTCAACTTCAAAGCTTCTGCAACTTCCAAACCTGAACCGCCGCCGTGGAGGACACAAAGGGGACGAGACCGTCGGATATTAAAGCATCAAAGTGTGAAAAACCTCGATACGAGCCACAAAAGTGACAAAAACCTGGATATGAATGCTCAGACGTCTCAACAGTCTGGATAAAAACGCACAAGAGCATCAATAGTCTGGACATGAACACACAAAAGGATGAAAAACCCGAATATGAAGCAAAAAAAAAGTCAACAATCTGGATATTAACGCACAAAAGTATCAACAGTTTAATATTATTGAACAAAAGCGTAAAAAAAAATCTGGATGTTAATGAAAAAGCACCAACAATCTGGACATGAACCCTGCAGACAGAACCGGGTCAGAACCGGTTCCCTCTGCAGGAACCTCAGGAAGCGTCCTGAGTGTGCGCTGGTCTGATGAAACTCAGTTGAGCAACAGCTTTGTGTGTCTGTGTGTAACTGGGCCGAACGCTGGCCTTTGAACCGCCGGCCGGGTCTAAAATTAGCAGCCGGGTCAGTCACCTGCTTCCCCTTCACCTCCACCCAGAACCGCTCACCTGCTCGCCGCCGGTACGGGCACGCCGCCGGAGTGTGTCTCAGCGCCGACACACAATTTGAGCACACACACACACACACACACACACACACACACACACACACACACACACGCACACAAAAACCTGGAAACTAATGAAACAAAGTGTAAAAAATCTGGAATATTAAAGCATGAAAGAGTCAATAATCGAGAAATTACTGCACAAAAGTATTTAAAAAAAGGATATTACCACAGAAAAGATTCAACAATGTGAATATTAATGCACTAAAGTATCAATGACTTCGATATTAACATGAAAAAGTGACAAAAACTCAGAAATTAGGGCCAAAAATTTGGATCTTAAAGCACAAAGTGCCTAAAACGTGGACATTATTATTATTATTATTATTATTATTATTATTAAGACACCAAAGTCTACCTAATGTGGACCTTAAAGCATTGAGGTAACAGACGTGTGAACTTTGTGAAATGACCTGGACGCCATCAGGTTCTGACTGTGAAGCTTTAATTCAACGACAACACTCCACACAGCCGTTACCGTGGAAACTGACATGATTCAAACAACTAAAACACGCAGACGAAGCGTTTCAACAAACCAGCACAGATCCCGAACATGAAGCTGGACTGAACCGGTTTGAAGCTGCTGAGCGAGTCGTCGTGTCTTCAGCGAGTCTTTCTGGGACTGAATTCTAAAAACAGATTTTGTTGTTTTGTTGTTGTTGTTTCTGAGCAAACGATGTTCTGGAGCTGAAGCTTGTCTCGGTGGTTCTGGTCCACAGCGACGCTCCGGGAAGCTTCACTCCACCACGATCTTCTGGGTGGCGTACATCTGTCCTATCGACACCTGCGGAGACGGAAACAGAACTTCATGAACTCAGAACACCAGGTTCTGAACGTCTAAACGGGTCCAGCAGCAGATTCCTGTCGGCTGAGTCCTCACAAACAAACAACCTGTTGTTGTTGTTGTTGTCGTTTACAACAATGTCTTTAAAGCTAAAATCCACCGAAAACATTCATTTCTTTAAATGATCTCAACAAGCAGCTCCATGAACACATGAACCTGTGAGTGAACACATGAATGTGTAAAGCTGGACGTTTATCTACACACGTGGCCCAAACGTTAGGAGAACACACGAGTTCATAAATAAACACATGAGTTTATAAAACATGAATTCATAAATGAACCAATGAATTTGTGTAACGTGGACATGAATGTAGAAACGTGTACACTCGTCTGTAAGCGCGGCTGAAAGGTGAACGTCTGCATGCGTGTGCAAATGAACACATGAACGTAAACGTGTCCCTGAACCCACGTTAAAACTCCACCTGATGGGATTTTAGTCGTTTAGTTTTTATCTGCAGGAGCCACTGATGGAGGAGTGTGTGTGTTAGTGTGTGTGTGTGT